CGGTCCCAGCCGGCGGTGACCCCTGACCCCGGCCCTGCCGCTCTGCAGGCTCCGGGCAGCAGGCGGGACGGGCACCTGTGTGTCCCCAACAAGAAGCGCATCCCCAAACCCAGCCCTTTCCTGACCGCCCTCAGGCTCCCGCGCTGAGGCTGTAAGCGCAACAGGGGCTTTGCCCTGTTCGCCGGTGAAAGATGGGTACAGGGCCTGGCACATGGCAGGCGCTCTTCGAAGATTTGTTGAGCACCTGAATGAATGAAGCAGGCGTTATGTATTTAACGTTGTTTTTCAAGCTACTAAGGTTTATTTATATTTATTTCTTAAATTGTCAGCTGTCATAAATAGAAAGAAAATGTAAAAATTAAAAATAAAATGATACTGAATTCTAAATAGGTCCAAACGCTGAGTGTGATGCTTAACACGTGGCAGGAGAGGCCTTAAAGCATCACACTGAGACTTCCTCTAAGAGGAAGCACTGAAAGAAAATGACAGCGCAGGTGAGCCTCACAGTAGCTGATGTTATTCAAGGTGTTTCCCTGCCACCTAGAACCCTCTCAGGCACCACCAGCAATAATGAGCTTTCTTATCTGCAGAAGCCCTCCTTGTGGAGATGAGCAGGTCGGCTGAGAAGAAGTTGTGAGCCCATTTTACAGGTGTAAAGCATCACAGCCAATATTTATTTGTTACTTTTAGCCCCTATTGATCCTGAATCAACCCTGTGAGGTGGATGTTATTCCCATTTATCAGATGGGGAAACTGAGGCCTGAAAAGTGGAGAAACAGGCTCAACTAGGGCATCTGGCTCCAAGAGGCCCTCTTCAGCATCTCTGAAATGTGCAAATGAAATATCACCCCTGGGAGCTCCAAAGATTGAACCCTGTTGTTGGCCCTTTTTGGTTGCTGTGGTAGATTGTTTGCAAAATTACGTGAATAATTTCCTGCCTGTGTCCCAGCCAATGTCTGTAACTTTGACCCTTGGATCAGCCAGGTGTCTTGCTTTGGCTGATGCAATGTTTTCAAATATGCTACACAAAAAGGCCTGCAAAGTACTTGTGCAGTCAAACTTATTGTTGCTCATGTCCTTGGGAACCTGTGGTCCCCACCGTAGAAACAAACAAGCCTGCAGGATGATGGACTCATGGCCAACTCAATTGCCATGTGTGTGAGCGAGGCCATTGACCCCCAGCTGCCATGGATGACATTAGCAGAAGAACTACCCAGCTGAGCTTTGCCCAATTTGCTGCCCCACAGATCATGTGCTACATAAACTGCTGTGGTGTTAAGCCAGTGTTTGGGAGGGTTTGCTATATATCAACAAATAACTGATATAAATGGTGACGGTAGCGATGAAGAGCCTGGATGGCCTGAAATCTCCCTGGCAGCACTTAAAAAGCAATAGCCCCTGGTATCACAGCCTGTTGGGTCTTCATCTAAAGAAGATTCTACAACAGATCTGGCAGCCAGGGATTAGGACACCGCTAGTCAGCACCTTTATTCTGTGCCTGTTGTACACAAATCCTACACTCAACCTGGGTTCAATACCATTGCAGTCCATGGTCCCTGTCCTGGGACCTGAAGGGTTTGCAAACCTTACCAGTGAGGTTTTGCTCGAGGGAATAAAAAGAGAAAAAGGAGGGGCTAGAATGCACCTAAGGCTTCTGGTCTCACCACGCTGGGCCACCTAATTATTCTCTTTTTAATCCAAGGAGGTGGAAAGAAGGTCATCCCTGAGCTGAACGTCTAGGGTTAACTCTGCGCCAAGCTCTTGCTCCTAACGGCCTGATGTCTCATGCGAAGAAGCAGGTACTGTCTGCCAATATATTGCCCTCTGGCAAACCATCTGGTTTCTTTCTGACCTGTCGATGAAATAGACTGTGGGAAGACTGGACATAACTTGGTCCATCTGCCTTCCGCTGCCTCCTGCTCTGTGCCTTGCTCTCGGCTGGCATTCAGGTGGGAAAGCATCCTGCCCCTTCCAGTTGCCATGTGTAGCTGAGGCTTTCAGTACCTCTGCTCCTTGGGAATGTTCCCTGATATTTCCGGCCACCAGCTGCCAAGCAATCTTACATTAGAGGCCACATACCAACCACTAAAACAACTCTCTGTGCGACGCCATTTCTCCTATTTGCTTTCCTTTGAAGTTAGTTGGCCAATGTTGAAGGTATTTTAAAATAAAACTGGGGAGGAAAATCAAAGAGTGGCAGGCCTCTTCCCTCCCCTGCATGTCGAGAAACTTCCCACTCAGTTGAAACAGCATCTCCCGTTGCTGGGTTTTCCTTAGAGGTTTCATGCCCCACCTGCCAGCTCGAACCTGCTTAGCTTGTGAGATGTGATGAAATCACAAACCAAGGCAGTGTTGCTGCAAGCAATTCTTTTTTATCTCTTTTCATTTATGGAGCCTGACATTGAGTAATAATAATAATTAAATGCCATTTAGGCTTTTAGGCACCTATACCAGAAGGCCTCTAGACACCTCATCAACAGCAGCCTGGGCTGACAAAAACAAAGCTAATTATATTGTTGGTTAGCTTTTTTCAAAAAAATAAGTAAAGCTGCTGACCAACTCTCCTTACCTCCTATGAAAGCAGTACATGAAATGTTTCATCCGACAGTCCATTTGCACAGAACCAGTTTATAACCAGGTTCCCTTGACTTAAACTTCCCACGTGGAACTATAAGTATCAACACATGACTTTAGCCTCTATTTTCTTTCTTTGTTTTAAAGTTAAATGGCATTTTATTTGATTTGCTGTAGAAAGACTGTAAAATCTCCCATGACCTAGGAAAATGGTTATAAATATTTTAGCTTATTTCTCATATTTTTTTCTCCGCATTTCCTTGGGGGGGGGGGAGTTGATTTTTACTTTGGCGTGATTATTCTGTATTTTCCACCCTTTTGTAAATGTAAAAAAAATTCTGTTAATACTAATTACGTATTTTGAAAGTCCACATCAGAGGATATTTATTTTTAATTTTTATTTTATCTTTCAATTGCAGTTCACATTCAGTATTATTTTGTATTAGTTTCAGGTGTACAGCACAGTAATTAGATAATATATTTACAAAGTGGTCCCTCCAATGTTTCCAGTACGTACCTGGCCCCACACATAGTTATTACGATATTTCCTGTGCTCTACTTTACATCCCCATGACTATTCTGTAACCACCAATCTGTACTTCTCAGTCCCTTCACCTCTTTCACCCGGCCCCCAAACCCCTCCCCTCTGGCAGCCAGCAGTATGTTCTCTGTAGCCTGTTTCCATTCTGCTTGTTCGTTTATTTTTTAGCCTCTATTCTCATGTTCCCTTAGCTCTCTGAGAAATCTCTAAGGACCCAATTTTCCCATATAGATTCATAGCCCCAGGGCCAGCTTTATTTATTTATTTATTTATTTATTTATTTATTTTTATTTATGTGCACCCATAGTGTTAGAAGAAGTGCCTGGATGCTTGTGAGGGATGCTTTTCACTTTCAGAAGTTGAAGAGAGTTTTAGATGTGGAAACTCCAAAATAGCTTGATCTAAGAAATTGAACCAGCGGATACTGATGATAACAAAAGAAACCAACAAAATCTCTGGAGAGATTGGGAAAGGACAACGTGAACTTGTTACAGGTTTTCTACTGACTTGCAGGATGACTCTGGCCAAGTCCCAAGAGACCCAGACACACAGGGGGAACCCTAAAGCTTTTGATACAACTTCTCTCGACAGCATTTGCAGTTCAAATTCTGGCTGCCCAAGCAAAAACGTCAGAGTTCTCATTAAAGGAAACGAAGCAAGTCTCTAGGAGAGATTTTTGGCTCAGTTTTTCTCTGAACTATACAACTGGGCAATATTCTCAGCCACTCCTTTCCCAAGTCACTTTCTCCTGCCTGAATTAAGAAACCCAGTTTGATGGACCTGGAAAGAAAATGATTCATAATGACTGTGGTTTATAGATGTATTTTTTAAATTAGCTCCATGTGAGCCAAGGTCCCCAATTCTTGCTCTTGTCAAGGGAGGGCCATTTTGACAGGTCCTGCCAGGAGCCCCTGTGGGCTGGTTACTAAATGTCTTCCTTTGTTCTTGATTTCATCCAGGGGCAGGAGACTGCAGGTGCCAAGATGCACTGCAGTCAGGCTTCCTGCAGAGCCCTGAGACCTGAGGTCCCCTGGCCTCAATTCAATAAAAGATAAACCTCCTCTCTTCCCCCTACCTGGGGACACTCTGCAAAGGGCCTCATCTATTTTTCTACCAGGGGCAGCAGTCAGACACCAGCCAGGCAGGCAGGGGATCCTGGCCAGGTTCCTGACTCAGAGCATCCTCTGTCTCTTAGCCCCCTGAGCTCCTGGGCCCTCACTCTGCCCTCACTAAGCCCTCCCTGCCCAGCAGCAAACAATCAGTTGCTGGCTGCTCCCCCCAGCCCCGCTGGCTGCCAATCAGCCCAGCTATAGGGGGTGGAAGTAAGTTCCACTCCCCGCTGAACCACCAGGAGGTGCTCAGAATGACTGAGTGGGCTGATGATGGCCTGGCAGGCTGGGGACCCGAAATTGTCATCCTGAGGGGGCCCAGGCGTGGGCATGATTGGCTGGGGTGTTGTGGGGCAGGGGCGGGGACTAGCAAAAGCAGAGGGGCAGCTCCTTCTGCTGATGGAAGAGTTCCAGGATGGGGAAAGGAGATGTCAGCAGGAATGGGCGATCTGCCGGAGGAGGCGAGATGGGAAAAGAGAGACAGAAGGCGATGGGGGGTCTGGGGCTCCTAATGAGAGGCCAGAAAATCAAGAACCAGGGGAGAAAAGTGGAAAAGCTTGGGCACAGGGTTGGCTGGGGTCAAAGACAACATAGGCTCTCGGGGGGAGTGGAGTGAGCAGTGGTCCAAGGAAGGAGTTAAATGGAAAAGAGACAGGGAAAGTCACTCGCCTCTCAGATTATTCAAATTTGTTGTACTTATTGATAATGTATTTCATTTCTTCTGCGTGGGGGGGATATGATTCAGCACAAATTTGATGTAAATTTATGGAAATGTAGATGCAGAGAGGCTGCAGGCGGGAGCTGCTGGCGGGCTGGCTGCGTGGCCCTCCCGGAGGCGAGGTTACCACTCTCTGGACTTGGGGAGCTGAAAATAGAAGCGGCCGACTTGGGGGCCACTGGCCTCAACTTCAGGCCAAGAGAGGGACTCACCCTGTCGCTCTGGAAGGCTTATTTTTTTAAAAAAAGCCTGATGATTGTCTAAAGTGGAATCACCTACATTGGCCTCCTGTTTGATTTTTGTCCTAGGGTAGGGGGGACAATTTTTATCCAGTAGAGATGGTCAGGAGAGAAAAAAGAAAAAAATTAACCTTAACTAGAACCTACTGTGTACACAGAATTGGCCAGGGAAGTGACAGAAATGTTGTTTCTTGCTCTGAACTATGAAAGAGTAATGGGCTTGGGGAGGAAAAAAGAAAAAACAAAGAAAACAATTTGCTAGAGAGGGTGAAAAGGTGGCATTTCATATAAATGGCCGGAGCCGGTAAAATATTTACTGTCCATTAGGCTGTCCTTCACAACACTGAAGGCTGAGTTTTATCTTCCCCCCAAACCAGGTCATGGCATTTATCTAAAGAGGCACCTCTCCCAGCTGGCCGCAGCCTCTCTGGCCTGGCCATGACCGTGACAGCAAACAGCCGTTCACAGCTTGCGGGCAGTCTCTCTGGGCCAGGCCTTCCTCTGCAACTTGGAATTGCAGTGAGACAAGAGATTCAAGACAGCAGAAAAAGAGCCAGGCCAAAGGGTTTTACTGTCCCTTCATTCCCATGAAAGACACATATTCTTGCTTTCTGCCAAAGCTGTGATTCCTTTCAATGTCCAGTTGTGGGCCCCGAGCTGCCGCGGCTCCCCTGGCCTGGAGGCAGACAAAGAGGTGTTCCGCTGGAGCCCACGGCCAGGGTTTGTGGGCACATTTGAGTCAGTGTTTCAAAGGATGGCAGTGATCTGCTCATTTTTATTACATTCATGGGGCAGAATTTGTCAGCCCTTGGTGACACCGATTATAATGCTTTGACCTCATTCAGTCACCAAAGGGCAAATTTCTCTTTGTTCTCTAACAGAAACACAGCATGGCAGGTAAACGTGAGTTCTAAAAAGAGACTGTCACCAGGGGTATTTATGAGCCTATCATGTCCCTGCCGTCGCACTGAGGAGCTCACCTTTGGAGAGAGAGAGGCACATATATGCCCCTTACAGGCACTCATGTGACACAGTAGTTGCCATTTATTAACTCTGTTTGTTCCCATGAAACAGGAAAAGTAATTTTAAGATGATATAAGAGAGTCTTAGGAGACTCTCTTTTAACATATAGGGTCATTTATTTATTCGACAAACTTTTTTTTTAATTCTAATTTTTAAAAATATTTTAATCCTTACCCGAGGACATGCCTATAAATTTTAGGGAGAGAGGGGGAGAGAGAGAAATTTCAATCTGTTGCTTCCTGTATGCACCCAGACCGAGGATTGAACCCACAACCTTAGGTATGTACCCTGACCAGGAATCAAGCCCATAACCTTTTGGTGTACAGGATGACATTCCAACCAACTCAGCCAGGGCATGACTAACATTCTTTTTTTAATTTATCTTTATTGTTGAAAGTATTACAGATATCCCATTTTTTGCCCTCTTTGACCCGCTCAACCCCACTCCCACCCCCTCCCCAGGCCTTCACCACACTATTGCCTGTGTGCATGAGTTATGCGTATAGGCATATAAGTTCTTTCATTAATCTCTTCCTGCCCCCACCTTCCCTCTGAGATTCCTCAGTCTACGACAACCATTTCTTGAGCATTTATACACTGAACTAGGCCATGGAGATGACAACCAGGTTTGGACCTGGTCCTCTGTCCTCAAGGCTCTTAGTCAGTAGCCTCCAGCAGCTGAGCTCTGCAGAAATGTGGGGAGAGGTTTCAGAACTGGCCTCTTCAGATATGATGGGTCATACAGGCTTCAAGGACCAGGAATGGACCGTGGGAACTAGATCCGTTTGGTACACTTAAAATGGTTAAAATGGCAAATTTTGATATATTTTTTTCCATAATAAAAAAAAGTAAAAGAAAAAAATCTTTGAAAAAAATAAAAAACACAAAAAATGAAAAACCAGATCCATGTGGAAAGCTGGGACAGGGCAAGATCAAAGACTACAAAGGCACAGAAAGCACACATTGGCAAGTTTACTCACCAAATCCCAGAGCATTTAGAAAAGGGGAAGCAGTGACCCCTTTCCAAAGTGAAGGAAGGAGTAATTGGACAAAAACTTTAGAAAGGGAGACTGGGTCGAAGCAGTGAGTGTGAGGGCTGGGACATCTTCACCTCTGTGACTTTTCCTCATCTATACAATGAGCAGACTGGGCCCGATGACCTTGAAGACCTGTGCCTCTATGAAATTAAAGCAGAAATTAGCATTTGAATGGAACTCCGTACAAAAGGTTAGTGAAGGTGGTGTTCATATCATCGAAGAGAGATTACAGAGCCATAGATCATTAGAAATATGAAGAATTTCAGCGATCTGGAAGCTTATTATACAAGAGAGGCCAGGAGTGATAAAAGTCACAAAGCTTGTTAGGGACAGAGCTGAGGCGAGAGCCCAGACTTTAGATTCCCCAGGCCCTGGCTCTTTCCCAATGCTTACAGGTTGGTAATATTTGAGGAGGGTGAGGGGGCGCGATTCAACCCATAACAGCTGTTTTCTTTTCAATGAGACTTCTCACATCTCTGTATGACAGAATTAACTAGGCATCTACGTAAATTATCCGGGTCCCCTAGCTTCTCAATGAATACTTAGCCATCCCCAAGGCTTCCTGCCCCCCTTACTTCAATCAGAAGTGGTTTGAATTGGGGCTGCTAAGCAACATTTGCCCTTCACCCATGCAATCCATACCTTTCTACTGTGCAAATAGAATGGATTGTCCCCATCCATTTTAATATCTAGTGGAAGGCACTGAGATGAGGTGTTTTTTTACTCATCTATTCCTTTTTCATGCTACTTCAGTATCCTTAAGTTTGCTGCTGTCACTCTCTAGCACATGAGGTTAGGTCTTGTCCCTCCAGCAGTCCAGTGAACTCTGCAGCTTGACAGATCCTGGAACTTCTGTTCATGTCTGGTGACTCCTTTCTGAGTCCCAAGGAGATACTGCAAAGGCCTTTCCCAGAAAGTGCAATGGGAAGCATTGCCTTTGGAATTTGTCTCTCACCGGGAGCTTCAGCTATATTCTGTGTATGTGAGATGATCGTCTGGTTTTCTTGCACACCCCTTTGGAATAGATGGTAACCTTGGTCTCAGAGGCAGTGTCCTAGGACTTGGAAACTCATTGGACCAAAAATGTCTACAACTTATTTTTCCCCTTAGATTCTCTTTTTTTTATTGATTTTCCATTTTTAGCACAAGATTGATCACCAGCCAAATACCAATTTACATACAAATTCTGCTAAACTCAGCATCCTATATACTTGGGACTTTTTCATCCATAAACCAATTTTTTAAAGAGAGAGATTCTATTATCAGAAGTGTCCCTGGTGATATCAAGATGGCCCGTAGAGCGCAAAGTCAGGAAGCCTTCTGCCTGGTGGGGTGAGCTCAGCTGATCTGTGAGCATAATAACTATGAAGCCAAGGTTGTAGGTTGATACAGTTGGGCAAGTTCATCTTTTGCTTACTTCTGTGGCCACAAGCTTGAACTCCAAACCTTGGTCAGTTACCTTACAAGCTCATTCTTTAGTCTATCTTACTCCTCTCTCATTTTGTTATAGACAACTAGAAGTCAGGCAGCCCCCTCAATACTCTGCCTGAAAATCAAGTTTACTAGATCACATAGATATATTTTCTACTTATACGTTACCACAGAAACAGTTTTGCTGAAATTTCTTCTACTGTATAACACGGATCTCCTTTCCTTCAGTTTCTAATAAATTTTCCTCAGTTTGCTTTAAACCCTCATCAGCACTCTCCTTGAGGCCCTTCGAGGTCTCCCTAACTGCCCTCATGAAGGGCTTCCAGAACCCACCTGCCGCTGGGTCCCTAAGCTAATGCCATATGTTTTAGATTTTTGTTACAGTAGCTGCCCCACTTCTAGACTCCAGATTTTCTGTTTCTGTTGCTGCCAGTTCCATTCCTATTGCTTCCAAACTTAGTGGCATAAAATATTATGCTAACAGATTATGTGGATCGGGAATTCAGAAAGAACATAGCAGGGAAAGCTTGTGTATGCCCCGTCTGGAGCTTCAGCTGGAAATACTTGAAGGTTGGAAGTGACGCCACAACTGCAAATTTGGATTATCTGAAGGCTTTTCAATCAGCCTGGCGCCTGGCCCGGGAGACCTCGGAGGCGAGGCTCCTGACTGGGGCGCCTGTGCCCCGCTCCTCCGCTCTGCTTGCTTCCTCGCAGCATGGTGCCCTCAGAATAGTCAGGCTTCTCACGTGGCAGCCCG